CCCTCCTCTCTCTCTCTCTCTCTCTCTCTCTCTCTCTCTCTCTCTCTCTCTCTCTCTCTCTCTCTCTTATTGTGTTGGATAATAAAGACGCAGTCATGGTTTGGATTTGTGAGACTTACTGTGATTAATATTTTTTCACCGTCGAGAGAGCGATTGGGGCTCGCCGCACCACCACTCGCCAAATGCCAACATTTTGAATGTACTGGGACCAAGGCCGGTCCAGACACATTCAAAATGTTGGCATTTGGCGAGTGGGTGCAGAAAGCCCGTGTGTATCCCTACCGATAGGTAATCGAGAGTAAGAGAGTGCTCTCTTACTCCTCTCTTGCTCTCTGACTCACTCAATCTCATGCTAATCTTCCGTGATTCGTTCCAATTGTAACGGATGTATGTCATATGAATATTATGAACTTATTTCCTCTTTCTTTCTCCCTTTCTGTTTCCTTTTTCTTGCTTCCTTGTCAGGTAAATGAACCTGCAGCTGAAGCTTTTGCAGCGCTCACTCTTTCCAAAGATGGCATGTCCAAAATATCGCCATTTAAGGAACTGATCATGCCGATTCTTGTTCGGCATGTCAGCGGCTGCAATCAGGATGTTACCATGCGAGGGGTGAGTTCTCACCACCTAATAAAATTAAATTTTAAAAATAAATATATAATAAAATTAATACATAATAAATTAATAATATAATAAAATTAATATAATAAAATTAATATATAATAAAATTAATATATAATAAAATTAATATATGAATCAATTAAAATAATATAATAAAATAATATATAATAATTATTGTAATAATAATAAATTAATAATAATAATAATAATAATAATAATTGTTATTATTATTATATAAACTGAATCAAATTCAAATAATACAATAATATTAAATAATAGTAATAGTAATAATCCACAGTGCCTGTCCCTTGTGATTCTTGTGTTAAGGACCAGTTGAATCTGCCAAATCTGGCAGATTGACAAGGCCGACCCTGAGGTGCAATCCTGCATAAGTGTGGGGTAATTAATGCTAATCAGGGGTCCTTCGGCCTAGTGGGTGGAAGCGTGGTTGCGTAAACGATGTAATTGTATGACTTGGGAAAAGGGACCGAACCGATGCTCCCCACAACTTTGAGGGGTGGAGAAAAGGTTTGCTAGTGTCACGGCATGTCGGCAGCCCTGTAACATCCCTGCAGGGACATTGAGCGGAGCCTGCAAATGCCAATGACAAGTGCTGCTGCAGGTGATTTGAGCAAACGTGGCCCCTGGCGTCACAGTTTACTGGCTTTGCTCGATTGAGTTCGTTCATGTGGGTGCTCCGACGGCCTCTGCTGTCACTGCTGCATTCATTTCTTCTAGTGTCTGATTGTGCACCTGTCGATCGTCAACTGCCTAGTTGTGTACGTCTTCACTGCAGTAGTATACGGCGCCACTGCTGCTGGCACTGTGTTCATTTGTTTGTCTTCGCTACGGTTGCATATGACACTGCTGCCGGCAGTGCGCTCATTTGTTCTCCATCATCGTCATTGTTTTTTGTTGTGCAAAAGCAGAAACTCTGAGTTGCTAAAAAACTCTAGAGTTGCTAAAAAAACTCAGAGTTCCAAAAAAACTCTGAGTTGCTAAAAAGCTCTGAGAGTCGAGTAAAGTTTTGAAAAGAAAAAGAAGTTAGCTGGTTGACTATCGATAGTTCTTGTTCAGCGATCGTTTTTTGTTGCGCAGTAGCAGAAAGCAAACTTGGATCGATTGATTAAATTTTATTTCAAATTTTCAACAACTCTTGTTCATGTTTTCAAAGAATTTGAGAAATCTGAATTTGATGATCTGCCTGTGTGTGCGGTCTGCTGTCCATCACATATTATTACACGCTCTTCGTGGGCGGCGAGGGGCAGGGGCAGGGATGAGGAGGCTGCGGGTGGTGCGGGTGGAGCCGCAGCAGGCAATTGATGTGTGATACTGATAATGTTCGGGCCGAAATTAAACAATAGTAATAACATGTGGGTCTTGATTGAGTTAGCCCCTTGAGGACCAATAGCACCCAACCAAAGGCCGATTGAAAAGAGCGCCCCAAACGGATCTAATGGACTAAGAGATGGGCCCTGACTCCTATTCAATTGAATGTCGTTTGTGGGTCCTGCAGCTGACAGATGGGTCCTGCAAGTGATAGAGGGGTTCTGCAGCTGACAGATGGGTCCTGCAAGTGATAGAGGGGTTCTGCAGCTGACAGATGG